TTAATGTTATAATAGTCTGTGCCGTTTGCATTGTCACAAATCTGTTGTTTTCGGCGTTTTTTTTTTCTGCGTCCACCCTCATTGCTGGCCCGTTCCGCACGTATGTCGACTGTCGAGTGGTCGTTTTCATTCATAACGAGCCAACAGACTCCCACGGCGCTCTCCATTCGCACCATTCTCGCCTACCGATATTGACTTCCTGTTGTGCTCGGCTAACCTGGCTTCCAAGCACACAATGTGTCTGTGTGTGCCGTACTGGCATACGTTTTGTTGAAGAACGCCCGAGCTTCTGTAATTTATGACCCTATGTCATATTTGCTGCCACGGCGCGCAAAAGACAGCTTTTCCAGGGGGTTGGGGCGCGCATTGTCTTGTAATGCCTTTAACATTCTTTTCATTCCCGATCCGGGCATTCTATACAAAGCACAACAAGAATTAAAAACCTGTGCACACATGTGCATAACTTTGTAGGTTTTTTTGTGTTGTTTGATGGCAACTTTCGTTCCCAGGCTCCGAAAAAGCGGGCGTACGACGTGTAACAGTTTTTCGAATAGCTGCGCCAACATAACCAACACTGTTGGCTATGATCGGTGCGGATGATTGATGCTGCAAGCATCAGGCGATCGGCCATCACCCACGCCAAAGTTGCTCGTATATTGCGTCACATTGATATCAGTATCAGATGCTGTTCGCCCGCATGCCGCCTGCAACCGCATGATGCATTGCTCGCGCAATAAATCAATCGCGCGCACACACAACGCACAAGTGGCAAGTAACCTGCCGCTGCTGTTGCATAACCATTCTGCTCTTTGCTTTCCTACAGCAATTTGTCTGCTCACAGTGTTATTAAAATAAATTCCTTTCTTATGATTACACCCACATTCAATCATCGTGAAAATATTAGAATGTTATAGAGGTACTTCAAAGCTGCAGTTCGCCACTTCAACTGAAAGGGTTTTCTTCATTTCCTGTGGCGTGCGGACATCTTTCTCTTATTTCCGTTTTCCGCACTTTTTCGATGACGCTTTATTGGAAAATGTCCAAATACATTTCCAATATTTCTTCCTCACAAGATAATCTTATATTAAAGAGCTTTGCGATGTGGGCTTCGCTTTAGTTTTAAGGTTTCCGAACATGTACCTATATGTGGGGACGGGTGCAATATTGGTTCGCCCGTAATTGCACTGATAATAGTGATTAATGGTGCTGTGAAGGGGAAGGTTCATTCAATCGATGTTGATAGGTACTCTGATGTTTATGTCATAGTTACCTGAATTATATAATAAGGAATTGGAGTAGGTATCGATGAGGTCACTGACATCTGAAATTTGTTTACCTGAAGCCTATATTTTTGATCTCCGAGAGTTGGACCGGAGTTTCGCCACTTGATAGGCATCTACTTCAATTGGTAATTCGAGCGTCAAACAGTGTAGTTACCGGGAAGTATCCCTATTGTCCCAGGATCTATTAAAATAACAAAATAGTGATTCAATTTCAAAATGCTAAAGTTTTCTCCTTCAGTTGCAATTTTAATAATGGGTTTTGTATACACATATATTGAAAAATTAATTACAGATTATACTTTCATGTTTTGTTGTGTTTGAGAGCTTTTTTATAAACAGTCTCGCGTACAATAATCCTGCCACCAACACGGAGTATCCCGTTGGAAGCATAATATGCTCGTGTTTTTATTTCCAACCACCGGCACGTGTTGTATTCGAGTCTCTGCTTTTTTTTTCAAGGAATAATTTTTCAAATATGCAAGGCTCTAGAGCGGGCAGCATAAAAACGTGAAAAACATGACTGACGTGAAATAAAATGAAAATAGCATCAAGATAAAGCATAAAAGGTAAATAGCCATGCTCACACCGCTTTCCTCCTGCAGTTGATATCCACGTGAAGGTTGTGCTCAATGGCGTAGGGATGGCATGTGCAGTCTGAAAATACAAAGGCAAATTGTTCATTCAAAAAACGCGCGCAAGCTGTGTTCTGATTGCTGGTGTTCCGTTCCCTTCAGTCATCAACAAGAGAACATCGTCAAAGCTGCACATACGAGTACACGCATCGAAAAAACAATCAGCTAACTGTAAAGCAAAGAAGTGTGAAATGTTCAATCAACAGTCTGCATTCGGCATTTGGCACACATGTTCACGCCATCACGAATTTAATACCAGCTAATTTGCTGTATACTTGACTCGATTTGTTATCCAGAAAGAAATGTTCCAATCGGCTGCACTTTTCCGTTGCTGGACTTTCGCATCAGTGCCTACCGTTTGTGTCAAATATTCAATTTTCCAGCCTTTCACATCCTATACTTTTCCGGGTAAGGGAATTGTTTGCGAACTCACCGATCCAATGCTTCTGATAGCTGACACTAGGAAATCATAAAATTTACATGTTTTTCGTATTCGCCTTTTTATTCCAACATCTGCAAATCACATTTTTATTCGTCGGTTCCACGCGGAAATAAAACATTCGGAAACTATGGATGCTCTATGACAAGATCATTTCAATTTGACCAGAAAGGCTATTGGAGATCCCACAAAAACACTCGTGATGCATTTCGGCGACGGTAACCCAAACATTTCAATATAAAAACCAAACCCTCTTCGTAATAACTTCTGGGCGACTTTACCAAGGGGTTTCAGTTGCGCACAAAGAAGCAGGAAGCCCTCTCAAACACAAAGTTTTAATTAGTTTTCAAAGCTTTGTTGTTCTGGTTCTACGAGATTTCGGGTTTTGGATATTTTTTAATAAAACATTAATAATTAATTCAGAAATATTTAATTTCCGACGACAGTCAAAAAATACCAATAACATTTTACGGAATAGTTATAAATTTCACTCTTCTTCTTGCGGTGGTTACGAATTAGTTATTTAGAAGAGCGATATTATTTAAACTCAGGGATTTTGGGTACGCAGTGTTTAAGGCAGGAATGCCATGAGGCGATGACGCAATTTGAATTAATTATACGACGGTCTGGGTCGGAAAAAGCGAAATAGAAAAAGCTAAGCACGTACAAAACGACGCTACAGAAGCTGAAGCTGCATAACACCGACTCACTCGATGCTCCAGCGCACAAACCGGCCCGAACCAGGGATGAAAAGTACGAGGAAACGCAAACTAAGAGGCACAGCGTTCAAGTCGTGGTGTCGTGGTATTTTTTTTCCACTATCCCACACGTTCCGGAATAAAGTTAATACGTGAAAATTCATTCAGAGTCATTCGAGGCACGTGTAAATCGCCACTAACATGTTTTAATTACTCTGCGTTCACGTTTTGTTCATGCATTAAATGAATGTATCCATACATGAAGAAAAAATTTCTCGCTTTCAAAAAGGAATGTTTATTTCGGTAGCAGCTTGTTATCGCAATAACCACCGATATTTCAGAATGGTTTCCCATTCCACAAGCAATAGGATGATGTTCCGCTTTCTTTCTCACTTGTAGTCTACGCCAGAGGGGCAGAAATAGGCAAGGACGATTACGTAATGTTGAAATAACCGTGCAACAGCACGCCCTTAATTCTATTCCGGCGCCCACTCACACTGTTTCTTTTTACGGTTTTTAATAAACAGTATATAAGGATAAAGTACTTTTCGTTGCTTGCAATTTTCTTATTGCGCTCGTTTTTCACCTAGCTTTGTTCGTTTCTGATGCGCCGCACACTTTAAGTGAAAAACAAACTCGTCATAAATCCTTTAGTTTATATACGCTTTATTCGAAATCGATATTTCGTTTGTAAATCGGCGCAACAAAAACACGCGTATATATCGTGCGGGGCGGCTTTAAGAGTATTAAACTGTTTGCGTAGGAAATTTAAATCAACGTAATTATTTGGAAAATATGTTGATGCCTCGCAAATAGACGCAAAACCGAGCGAAGATGTGTGTATAAGGGAATAAATCACCAACAGGAAGCCGCACTGCCGCCCGCCGCCGAGCCGAAGCGTATAAACATAACTCAATCGCAATCAAACTCGCTTGAAAATTCGGCGGCGGCGGCGGCGACGCTTGAAATTAGTATTAATACAGCATAAGAATATGGAACAATATGCTGCGCGCGACTAAGCGCAAGAGGCAGAACAAGATTTACGGCAATTTCTCGAATCCCTTCTAGTTTTGCTTCGTTCGAAGTACGAAAGTAAAGCCTGCACACATCGTCACAAAGGCGGCGGCGCGAGCGAGCAGTAATACATATTTTGCATTTGATCTGCCGCGCGCCAGCTTCGGTCGTCTTCCATTCGGCACACGCTGAATTATGTAATCCTTTTAAGGAGTGACGAGTGTGCGCGTAATTATTCGCGGCAGTTTCCATTTCTCATACCTTCCCGCTTCCGCAAACTGCCGCCGATCATATTTGCGTACTCAGGCCTCGCAAGACGAAGCAAAGAAACAACTATATGTCACAAACTGTGAATTTACCAAAGGCATACGGTTGTTTTAATATTTGCATAGTTTTCATTACGCAAACCAACATCTAAAATAAATTTAGCTCCGGGAAATAGATTTTCACTGATTAATAATTTAATATTTAATTTCATTATTGAAAATTCTTGCTTATAAATAAATAGTTACTTTAATCAGGCACACTATATATGCACCTGAGTTCTGAGTTTGATATTTTCCACACGTTCCGAAGGAAAGCTTGAATATTTCAAAAGTTAATAAAGGCAAATTGGACTTACGAGCGTGCATATTACAAGTTCTCGTGTAGTTGGCGCGTGCTGGTCGTAATTTACATACAAATAATAGAAAGTAGTCGCAAGGTTAACTGTTTTGCTCGTGTTTCCCTGAGAAAATGTACGGATTGTGTTTTTTCTGTATTTTAGGACGCGAGTTTTCCATATTTCCCCAGTTCAAGGTTGCACGCACATTACAACCACGTTATTGATACCGCGATCGAATTTGCAGGCCTGGCTTTAGACTAAATTTCATTAAAATTAGGTTTTTCTTATAAAATTATGTGGCTTATGAATGTTTTCTTGTTCATTTTGCAGTTACCAGAAGGAGTGCAGTTGACACTAAGTGAACTGCGAGATATGGCATGCAGGCAGCAGGCGCAGATCGAGTCGCAGCATCAGCTGCTGGCTGCGAAGGAGCAGCGCCTCCGTTACCTCAAGGAGCAGGAGGCGCGACAACAACGGGTGCAGGCCGAGAGCGAGCGCCTGCGACGGATGCGCGATCGCGTGGACGCGCAGGAACTCAAGCTGCGGAAATTGCGGGCGATCCGCGGCCAAGTGGACCATCAGAAACAGAATAATATATCTCTCAGTAAGTAAGCGCCGGCGGCGTAGCAGGCACTGGCATTTCGATGAAATTCAATTAGCAAAAGGGGCAAAACCCAATCGCATGATTATTTTCTTTGAATTACAGCAAGTGACCTTGATTCCATCCGAGCGCTCTTCAATGAAAAAGAAAAGGAGTTGTCGCTGGCGGTGGCCAAAGTGGACGAGCTCACCAAGCAGCTTGAGGAGTTGCGACGGGGGCGGTCGAATCGCGAGCAAACGCCAGCGTCGGCCCTTGAGCTCGACAAACTACGGCGGGAGCTGATGGTAAGTTTGTTTATTCTTCCAACCCGCTTCATTAGCGATCCCGGAACGTCAATGTTATGATTGTTTGTTGTGCACACAAACCGACCAGCGAGCGTATTGTATACGCTTATCACAAGACAACCGCGTGCGCAATTCGAGGCGAGTTGTATTAAGAAAACGTTCAACACGCGCTCTTTCTCACGTGGCTTCTCGTTCGTGGCGGTAGCTGTTCACCTGTGCTTGTTGAAATGGTTATCATGATGGTGTTGAATGTGAGAACGCGCAACAAAGCCGGCAATGTTTTTGTAAGAGACGCTGATCTAATGCGTGTAATTAAACGATTTATTCGGTTTTCAGTATCGAAACAAACTGAACGAACAGCAGAATCATCGGCTTAATCAGCAGCGGGAGGCGCTGACGGCGCGTCAAGAGGAAATGAGCGCCATTGACAAGCGGATTTCGGAACTGCAGGAACGATTACATCGCAAGCGGCTATTGAATCAGCAATTGGCGAACCAAATTAGCGCCGCCTCGCACAAGGCCGCATACAATCAGTTTGTGAGGTAGGTTTGCGTTTCCCTTTTCGCATGTTTCCGCGTTCGCTCCCCATTTCCATATATTTATGCTATCGCTTCGTAGGTTGGCGGGCTCAACCGATCAAAACAATCAGCATTATCCGAGGAAGAACCAGCAAAACACACACCCCGCTAATGGATTATCCCGTAGCAACATCGCCGCAGTGGAGCCCTATAATCACGTACCCCTTAATGCTGGACAACAAATTCGACATGGACCATTACAAGATGTAAGTGGTTTTGGGTTCAAATCGAGTAAAACACATTTATTGTTATTTTATTTTCAGAATTTGACATATCATTCTGTATATCAACCAAATCATCATATCAAAAGCGATTCGGAACCGAAAGCGGAGAGCCAGGATATCCACAAGTCGATGTACAAGGGGCAGGAGCAGCCTGACGGCGACCTGTTGAAAGACTTTGGCGTGTCCAAGTCCGACCCGAAGTATCAAACCTTGCCATATAACACGAAATTCACCGTGAATTTATTACCCAATAAAAATAGAATAGACAGCCACGACGCACTACAACAGCAGCAACCTGACGCGAAAGACATTGACGTCCATAATGGCAACAACGGTGTACAATCACAAATGGTACACAGCGCGCCGTTAAACACAGCCAACAAAAATATTGCCACTCCGCTCAATCAGAACGACTTGACCAAACGATACGACAAGGAGAATGACGGCAAGGGTTTTAATGGGCAGTCGAACAAATTGAACGAACACGCTTCCACATTGTATCAAGTAGGTGTCTTTGAATCAGCGTGCTGTGACTGGATTGTATTTACACGTGCATCCTTGTTTCAGAAACCGATCAGCAGTGTGGCACCCACATCGGTACATCATTCTGGGAAGCTTTCGAACATTTACCAGACCTCATCGATCAAGGTGCAACCTGTGGAACCGCAGACCATTCACAGTAAGCCTACCAGTACCCCCGAGGCATCGGGAGACAAGGCAAAGCCGGCGCTACCGCCAAAACCGTCGATACGACCACCCCCACGGCAGACACAGCTGAGTGTCGATGAGCCGAGACACTCACCCCCACCGCCTCCGGTGCCCACGAGCGACCCGCCCGCCGAGGAGAAGCCCTCGCGGCCGGCACATCCGCTCAGCCTCGCATTGGGCAAGTTACAAGGTAACGCCAACGGCCAGAAAGGACCGCACTCACCCCTAACGCACTCACCGCTCTCGCAAAGCTCGCCTGCCACCAACTCACCGGTCTTGCAGCACTCGCCCGTAACACACTCGCCCGTCTCGCAGCACTCCCCGCAAATCCCGCACTCCCCAGCGACAACATGCCCATTATTAAAGCAAAACCGCTCACCATCAAAAAGCAAATGCTCAGCGAGCAGCCTAAACTGCGTGCGCTCAGCTCCTACTCACGGCTAAACGGGTTGTCAGTGAACAACAATCGCAGGATCGAAATGCCACCGGCCTTTCATTTTCCAGAACTCGAGAAGGCGGAAGTCAACGGTAACGATAGCGCCGTCAAGTCGTCATCATCCTCCGACGAGACGGACAAGTCATCGTCTGCGGAGAGTAATGCACCTGAGTTGAAGGATGTGGTGGTGCGACGCAACAAAAAGGGCAATCTCAAACAGACAGGCAAGGCTAATCTATCGAGACGTGTTAGTTTTGACCCGCTGGCGCTACTTCTTGATGCCAGCCTTGAAGGGGAACTGGAGTTGGTGAAAAAGACTGCCACACAAGTGGCTAACCCATCTGCAGCCAACGACGAGGGTATCACCGCGCTGCACAATGCGATTTGCGCCGGTCATTTGGAGATTGTAAAGTTTCTAGTTGAGTTTGGTTGCGATGTTAACGCGCAGGACAGCGATGGCTGGACACCTCTGCACTGCGCCGCTAGCTGCAACAATGTTGCGATGGTACGTTTCCTTGTCGAGCATGGCGCCTGCATCTTTGCTACGACCCTAAGTGACCACGAAACTGCTGCGGAGAAATGCGAAGAGGACGAGGAAGGTTTTGATGGATGTTCTGAATATTTATATAGTAAGTTTGTGTTTATTTCATAGCATAATAACAGGATTAATCGATTATTTTAATAGGTGTACAGGAAAAACTTGGAATCCTATCCGGAGGTGCGGTATTTGCCGTTTTTGATTACGCTGCACAACAGCCTGACGAGCTCAGCTTTCATGCCGGGCAACAGTTGACAATTCTTCGCAAGGGCGACGAAAGCGAGCGCGAGTGGTGGTGGTCGCGTCTCGGCGATAAGGAGGGCTACGTGCCGCGGAATCTATTAGGGGTATGCTGTTTAAACTTTCAACTCGTCGCCTGTTTGCTAATGTGCGACTTTCAACTTTCAGCTTTATCCACGCGTGAGCAAAGCAGACGAGTAAACGAGGCAACGTTTAAGTGTAATAAGCATCGATGTAAGTATCTTTCGCATTTTCTAAATCTATAAAACGTGCTGGAGTTATTACACCGCAAGGAGGGAGTGGGAAGAGGAGAGCATCAGTTCTGGAATTCGTATGCCTTTGCTCAATATTTTATTATATTGTTTAGTCAAAAGGTCGCGTTTGTTCACACTTAATTAGTTAGTTTACGAGTGATGTTTTCGCATGGCAACAAGTCTTGATATTTTTGTTTTGTATTAAGATGTTATTTAACTGGCAGATTGCTTTTGGAATTAAGTAATTACTTAATGAATATTTTAATATATTTTCATTATTGTAAATATATAAATATGAATATACAATGGAATATTTACATAAAACATGCTATTTTATCCCTTGATTATCATGATCCTTTAATTACAATATAGTTCCTGCGTCGCTCAGCAACGGTAACACGTAAGTACAATAAATGAAACTTCAAGATGTGACATTTATTAATTTGCAAAATGTGCACGTGTTATGATTGCATCAATACGTTACCAGTGATTTCCATCTTAGTAATAGTTGTATACACTTATTACGTCTATGTCTTCGAACTGTGCATACTCGTCATCCCCGAGCAATTCAAAATGATTGCTTATTTATGCGTGTATCACCTGCTGCTTATCCCGTTCTTAACAATGTACTTCATCACAATGTTCCACAAGCAATGGTACGTCCCACCTAATTACTACCTACCCCGGGATTTCTACGAAAAGATGAACATGATGTCATCCGCCGACGCCGAATACAGCATGCTTGTGTCCTTTTGTAAAAGTCGTAATATTCGCGTCTACACCCGCAACTCCAGCGGCAGTATTCGCGTTTGCCATACGTGCAAACTTTTAAAACCCGACCGAACGCATCATTGCAGTACATGCGAAGCATGCGTGGTCAAAATGGACCACCACTGTCCCTGGGTGAATAACTGCATTGGATTCACGAATTACAAATACTTTCTTATGGTTGTATTGTACGCTGGCATTCTCTGTACATATTATTTTGCGACCACGTTAGAATATAGCATTGATTTCTTTATGGACATCGGCGAACATCCCCACTTAAGGAGAGTTAATATTGTCATATGGTAAGCAATGTTATAAAAACTTGTTTACAGGCATTTTTAAAGTAACATTCTTATCATCCACGCGGCAGTTCCATTGTAGTCATGGCACTGGCAATAACGCTGTGGTGCTTGCTCGGCTTTCATCTTAGTTTAATTCTAAACAACGAAACCACCGTCGAGGCTCTCCATCCACCCACGTACGCCAGTGCAATCATCCTCGGCTTCGATCATGGCAAACGAGAAAACTTTCGTGAAGTGTGCGGCGGGAACGTGTGTAAGTGGTGTTTACCAATCCAAACACATGAAGGTGACGGGGTCAGGTTTGATGTGATGCGATTCGCATAATAAAACGCACTTAAATGCATTCAAAACCATCATATTTCATTAAACTATTTACAGAAGTGTGAGTACGTTTTTACATTGGTTTATTACTAGAGAGTTTATACATCATTTAAATTTTCACAGATTTAAATTGCACTTTGGTGTTAGGATTAGACCTGTTTAGCTTTTAGAAGCTGGTAACTATAACAATCAAATATAAAAATATATAAAACAAAGTACTCTGACCTCTAGTGCAGATAAAATTTAATTTTAAAATATGCTAAGACCAAATAGTTTCATAGTTTTTGTCGAAGACACAGCCATACCGAAAGTGCGTATATTACGTATTCTTAAGTATCTATTGAAGCTAGAAAAAGATGAGCATATTGAGACTCTTTGTAACAAGTATCTAGTTTGAATCACAGATGATCACATACGATCCGGCAAGAGTTGCGTCTGCTCGTTGTCTCTCCAAGCAGACTTGAAACTGATATAAATTGCAATGCATGCAATCAGCGTACCCACAGCTAACAATCCAATTCCGGTAAATTGTCCAATTGCAGGCAATATCAATAGGGTTTTAACTGTACCAGCCAATTCATCACTCAAATCCGCCGACTGTTCAAACCATAATACTGGCAACATTGTTTCCTTTACATTTTAAACATACTAAAAACAACACAAGTAAATTATATTTAAATTTATATATTAAAACAATAATATTACGTGATTCCTGGAATTGGTGCTATTAAAATGTTCAATTGAAGTCGAGCGTTTACACTTAAAGGCACACCGGTCTTCGGTTCCAAATTAATTTCAAATTTATGCTTTGCTTCGTTTGGTCGCATACCAACAACGCCTTTTCTGTAACTTTCATCGCCCAAGTAAAAGTGTGGATATGAAATAAAAGCTGGCGCTCCTTGTTTGCATTTGGACACGTCGCGAACTCCACTTGGGTGTATTTTGTCACCTCGGAAACATTCTTGCTCAGGATATTTAGTGCCGTTATCAAAGAGGAAATCGGTTCCGATGAACTCTTTACCCTCGATGCCTCGATAAAATCTTGTTTTATTGCTGTGGAATACTGTAATAGAACTAAAACATACAAAAAAATTAATTTGATTGCTTGCAATGTAGTTTACAGTTTCTACCTGCACAAGTCTGATGCAAATAATGAAACCTTGTTGTATTTTTCCACTGGAGGCCATAATTCTCCACTGGTGCCATTTACAAACCCACAATAACTACTGTAAGCAGAAGTGTATGGTCTGCCATTCCACTCTTCAAACAAACCCAATAATTCCAGATCATTCTTGCCTGTATACATTGTTACATTGCCATCATAAGTTTCTGAGTTATTTCGATTATAAAACCATCCAAATTTGTCCATATCAATATTTAGTTTGAGGTCTTTAGCTAAAGTAAGCAGTTCATCTTCATAGCCATCAAATAACCATTCAGAAACATTTTTGGTTAAAATCATAGATCTCTCCTTCTCCTCCAGAAAGAAGTTAACAGCTTGTCTGATGAATATGTATCTATTTTTTACCATGTTTGCCACAGTCTAAAATTTAGTTTTTGTTTTTAATTATAAACAGAAGGAATAAATAATTTTGATAATAGACTTACTGCAGCTATCACATTAACCGTAGTAACCTTATCGGCAAGTGTTCCATTAGACTTTTCGGGAATAAAATGCCACACTCTTTTGGTCTGATATGTGATGGTGTCATTATCATTCCACTGTAGATTAACTCTGTAGTGTTTCTCTGAGAAGACATATGGTCCCACTTCCTGCACAATAGGCTTTATTCTCCAGTCTTTCACTACTTCATCTGCATTTGTCCAGTTGTACAGGTGAAATGTTAAAAACATTGGTATTGGAGTGACCACCCAATTATCAAAACCCTGTGACCCCTTTTGTATTGTGAGTTCCTATAAAACAAACCACTAAGTTAGTCTAAGTATAGAGAAACAAATAAATAACTTACATTATGTGTAATTGTGTGGATCGCAGAGTCCCATCCAATGACCAGCAACAGGCCAAAAATTATAAACAGGATGGCGATGCCAAATGCGAGCGCTTTCTTACAGCTGTCGCCGCAGAAGGCCATTGTTGAGTACTGGAAAGCGTCGTAGCATTAAGTAACCACAAAAGAACGTAACAAACACTCGACTAAATAAGTATTTAACATTTATTGATGAGCAATCGTTGGATCATATGTTAATGATGAGTAATTATTTTGATCCACGGGTTCAAAGTAACCTAGGACATTTGCACTGTTCGCGAATCATATGCTCGATGACAGGTCTACTGCTGACTGCGCATCAATTTCAACATGTACAGGGTATCACACAGTGAAGCAAGAAATATATTTTCAACACGTGCGAGAAACAAAGCAAAAAGTGAAGGGAAATGTAAATTATTAGTTATTTCATGAATAATTACTTTGCAAACAGTTAAAATGTACACGAAATATTTGACGCTCAACGTGCGCAGCGCGTGTTAAGCACTGGTGTTAAGTGTTTACAGTTTCCACGCATGAAAGAATATTATCACTCTATTTGAATTGTTAATTCCGCCCACTTCAAATTAAAATAACTTATTATCAACAACAATTCACCTAAACCCATCATCAAACATTTTACGTTCTATAAGAATGGGATATTATTTTGTTGCTATGCAATATTTGTTGGACTCACCGCTTTTACTTCGTTATGTAGTTTAATTCTTTTATTCCGTATTTTTCGATTTATTAACTATGAGTCCTCGTTAATGATTTGTATGCACTATGATGTAGATAGTAATGTGAGCCAACAAATCGATAAAAACTTCATTAATGTTTTAAAATGATGCACGTTTGTACTCACTGTTGACCTGCTTCACTGTTGATTCACGATTCCTATGAAAAATTGTGGCAGAGTTCAACTGATAATTAAAATTGTATAATTACACACTATGCTAAAACTGACACCCGAGTTGTTTGAACGTGCCACTTGGTTTGTTTTTCCTGCGGTGGTATTTCGCAGTTCCACTGCGATTTCACCACAGTTTCACTAGTTGTTATAAACATTCCAACATTGCGTTGCTATAATGCGCGTAAATGGCGTGCAATCAATTGCGCAAGTTAAAAACGTTCGTAGACTGTTGAAGATGTGTGATAAAAGAGGTGGAGCAGTATACTAAAAAGCGACATGTTATTTAATTTTATGATTTTTAATGTTAAATAATAAATAAAGAATAAAATAATAAATAAAATGATTAATGATGCATATTGTTGTTGTTATATTACAGATAATATAAATGTATCTCTTCGTATAGATAATAACTCATATTTTTTAAAATTTCAGTAAATCCGATTTTTTTCCTTGATATCGTTTGAAATGCCCGCGTTTGTTTGAAGTCTACTTGTTCCTGCTGTAGGTTTGAAGTAACCTAACAAATTTATACTCAATTTTATTTAAGTAAAAAAGTTAAAATGTTGGCGATTCGCACAGGAAAATTACTGGAAACACTGGCAAAATCAAACAAACATCATGCGACGACAAAGGAACTTCATCTGTCGGCTTCTTTCAATGAAATCCAGAAACTAACTCGACTTAGAGTTGTTGATAATAGTGAAATAGGAAAGCGAGCAATGGCAGAAGGCAAACCACCAAGATGCATACATGTGTACAACAAAACAGGAGTTGGTAAAATAGGCAAGTGTTATAAGTTTGATTAATCTTTAAAAATGATTTATGTCTTAATTTAAAATATATAATTTTAGGTGATAGAGTTCTGGTGGCCATCAAGGGCGAAAAGAAAAAAGGAATTTTGGTTGGACTGAAACAAAATCAGAAAACTAAGGTTCCCAAGTTTGATAGTAATAATTTAGTATTAATTGATGACAATGGAACTCCAGTGGGGACAAGAATTCATGTACCAATTCCTACCATTTTAAGAACTATAATGAAAGAGAAAACACATTCAAAGGGTGCTGATTATACTAAATTGTTGGCCATTGCCTCCAAGTTTGTGTAGAAATATTAGGCTTGTAGTATACTAAATGTTCAAATAGTCATAATAAATAATACAATATTGAAATTGAAAATTTGTGAATTTGTCTTGGATTAACTTTCAGATTACAGTATGTATTATTGAACCACCAAATGTATTATTGAATTCTATGTGAATTCAAATTTAACAAGCTAGCAGAATCCGAAATCAAAACTTAAAAATTCCAATTTGATAATTCTTGATAAAAAAGTGAAAAAGTTTTGTGTTTTTTATGACAAAATCTCTTCAAAGTTTAATGCTTTTTATGGCATAAATTAAAATTCCAAATTTTTGAATTTTCTTCTTTGATTATGATGAATCAGAACATTACAAATCATTTATTTTAGTAAACTTTTGCTCAACAACTATTATTTAAGGCCCTACTGATGCAGGAATGGATAACATTGAATTCAAAAAGAGTTTAAAAGTTTCATGCAAATATCTTCTAAACTAAATGTTTAATTAAAATATTCTTCTAAAATATTTTATTCACATAACTGACCTCTTTCATAATCAGTAATAAAACTGTGTTATTTTATATTTTTTTGATAATGCAAATAATTAACTTAAAATGGTGGAGGCGCCGGATATTTAAATTAATGGTTGACTTATTTATTAAAAAAACACCATCGTGTAGAGGGTCTCTTAATTAGCTTATTTACCAAACTTGCTGGTTAACTGCTTTAATCGTTTACCCTGCACACACTCTTTAGTACAACGTGTACCTGCAGCACCGATTAAACACCGAATATCTCAAGAACTAATAAAGATAATCCAAAACGGAAAACTGCATTGCATTCAGCAGACAATTCTACATATGATAAGATTTTAAAACTTGATTTTTTTTCCCGAGAAAATTGATTTTCCAACGTAATTTTCTCGGAAACCATAAAAGTTACAAACAAACTTGTTGCATATTCTTCATGCCCCTACAAGAATCTATAAAATGGCAGATTTACTTTTTTGATTCTAAGAAGTTGGCAAAAACCACTCAAAAGTAGTCAAGAGGTTACACTTGACTACTTTTTGGCCTAAAAATTATTTTTTAGCTAGAAGAAAATGCAAAACGCAATTCTATAGGGTATTGCAAGGGCATGAAAGATATCCAATCAGTTTTTCGATAACATCAATATTTCGGAAAAATCTGGTGAAAATTGAAACTGTTAAATTTGAACCACTTTTCCGATTTTCCCAAAACTTTCTAATCAGCTGTAGAATGATGCCAGGAATTCGTTTTTCCTGTTTTTGTTTTGATATCATAATTAGTTTTCGAAATAATGACCATTTTCAATAATTACATAACTAGAGAAAACTTAAAATTTTTAAGCAGTAAACTGTGTCAAATTATCCCCTAATTATGAAACTGAAAACCGTTTTTCTCTAACGTCAGTGGTTCAAAAGAAAACTGCAATACACTGGATAATTCACTTTCTCTATCATTTCTTAATAAAAAATAAAAATTTGAAATTTAATCATTTTATTGCAGAAGATTGAAGAAAATGTAATTTTGATTGCTTTATCTAAGTAATCTTTTGTTATCAGATTAATAGATTAGACAGTAATCAACATATATTGTCAGGTATTGTACATTAATATATGTGACTTTCTGAAATCATTTTTTACCTAGCCCTTTTGGTTCAGAAGTTATTGACGTTTAAATTTATTGTTTTGATTTGGACAAAAAATAATTAAAGACTAAAGTTCGGCTCTGTCATTCAACGGAAAATATTTTAACAAAAAAGTTCGACCCTGTTGTTCAAGGAAAAAATTTTAGGAAAAAAGTTCGACGCTGTTGTTCGAGGGAAAATATTTTAAGAAAAAAGTTCGACCCTGTTGTTCGACCAAAAATATTTTAAGAAAAAAGTCCGGCCCTGTTGTTCGAAGGAAAATATTTTTAAGAAAAAAGTTCGACCCTGTTGTTCGACCAAAAATATTTTAAGAAAAAAGTCCGGCTCTGTTATTCGACAGAAAATAATTTAACAAAAAAATCAGAATAAAAGCTGTCCTTCAACCGAATAACCGACTTAAATAGCAATGTTTAATGGGCATTTTAGGGCTCTTGATAAGGGTTTAAAGGGTCTAAAATATACTCAGGGTATAAACGGACTCTTTAACTATCGGATGACAATGAGAAACCGTCAGTTTCCCCACTGGTTCAAGAGATACGTGTGGTTTTTCCCCCTGATTTTAGAATTTTAAGATAAATATCAATTTTTGGCGGGCATTTTAAGGCACTTCCTGAGTGTTTAGGGGATCAAAAAGATATACACATTATAAAACAACTCTTTAGCTTGAATATGGCGGTAAGATAATCGAATTCGCTCCATTAGTAAAGGAAATATAGGGTGTTTTCTCAGCCAACTTTTAGAAATTGATATAAAGATTTTAAGGACCATTTTAGGGCACTTCCTAAGAGTTTAGAAAGTGGGCAAAAATGTATGTTGGAGAAGGCCTAATGAACTAATTTTTACAACTAAAAATCTTAAAATTGCTCTATTAGTTTTTTAAATATATCAGGAAAATGGATGCACAATAATCAAAAATTATATTTATTAAAAACCCATTATTAACTTATTTCTTATGGAACATGTTGATGTATAAGTTAGAGTCACTATTGAATGTAACTGGTTTTCTGTGATCTTCCTTTACATTATGGAACGTCTTGGGTTCTGCTCTTGTGAGTAAATCAACTCAAGAACTTGAAGAATTTCAAAGTGACGTGTTTGTTCCATTTTGTGACAAGCGACTTATGGGAAAACCACAATAATTTATTGACCAGAATATGAGAGCATAATGTTTAATAAATGTCAAATTCGTAAATGTCATAATAAGACATTCAAATTTATAGGGTTTGATAAACAATACTGACACAAACAACTTCTCAACATTTTTTAAAAATTTTGGTTGTGCGCTCACTATTAAATCGATAACACACGAGTATAAGGAAGAATGATAATATAGGGAATGCGAATTTTATGATGCGAGACATGTTATTTCACGTATTTCCTTCGAAAAACCCAATGTTGAAATGCAATCGATACGATAAGGAAAATAACGCATTACTTGCAGTTAATTTAATATTTTTATATAAAACAAAAACGAATTCTTTAAAATTTAAATTATACGATTTATTGCTTTAGTGTATTCTTATCAACACGACAGTATGGATACCAACACGCATTCCAGAAATTGTTATCTAGTACCCAGGTATAAATTCAGCAATTTGCATCGAAAATATAACTCATTCATATAACTGCAACGTAAAATCATAACTCTAATCATGTTAGCAAAGTTGATAATTGTTGCATGTTCAGTGGCCATTGTTTATGGCCATCATGGTCCCAACCGCCCTCAAGGACGTCCCATCAGTAGGGACATTGCACAAGCTCGCAGTTTTGAAGATTTGCTTGCTATTGCACTGAATGAGGAGACAAGATACGACGCACAAATACAAGCTGTACAGGATAATTTTCCCAATGGATTAACCGCCTACATGCAAAGCATCCAGAGACTTGCCGACAACTTGAAGACCCGCATGAACGCCAACGATGCTTCCTGTCAAACCGTTTCGGAAATTGATAATGCAGTGGCAAACAGCTGCCAAGAATTAGAGGCTCTTGGCCAACGTGATCTTGTTACAGAACTGAAACAAAATCCAGTACTGAAGCGCGTCTATGATCAGTTTGCCAGGAATGTGAATGAAATCCAGTATTCTATTAACATTTGTGCTTCTCGGGGCTGTACGTACAATGAATACTTTCGCAGATTGATGCAACTTCAGGCATCCATGGAAAGTACAAGAAGGCAATTAAGACCAGCTCTGTTAAGAGCATTCAGCATTACCAGAGCAGAAGCTGCTGGTATCTCAAGCAGGGGCAAAAGAGAAATAAGGAGAATTGAAAGTGAATGGCAGGCATGCTTGAGAAATTTGGCAAATCAACCAGACACAACAACTGTTGCAACTGGCACTGTTACAAATGATGTTACAGTTACTGAGGAACCTACTGAAATCGGTACTACAGCAACAAATGCTCCAATCACAGACGCTGATACTGTTACAGTTTCAGTCACTGAACCAACCGTTGTGACTGATGCTGTTACTGAAGATGAAGCCACTGCAGCCGTTACTGAAGAAGAAGCCACTGAAGCCGTCACTGAGGCAACAACGGATAATACAGACGGATAAATTATTGCTATTAAATCCGGTGGCCAAATATCAGAAAGAATAAAAAGTGTTATTGTAGAATGAAATTGCTGTAATTGACCACAATAAATACATAAAACTAAAATGAACATTATTAACCAATCAATTAATGTTAATATTTTATGTGAAACCCTATTTGTCCTTATCTGTGATGAGTATATTAATATATCGTGAATGTAACTTACACCATTCTCAACTTCAAAATATTTTTAAATTCCTACAAGTTGATAACAAATATGACACATTATTTACCGTTGTTGTTTTCGGAAAAGTAAATTATTTTTATCGATAGTTTTAAAACCGTACTTAATTTACAATGTTTTGAAGATTTTTACAAACAATACGCGTATAAATAAACTTTGTCACTGCTGAAATCAATGAAACCTTTGTTTCTACGCCAGGAAAACAACAGTTGTTAGAATGCTTGCAAAATTGTGCCTAATACTGGCTTGCCTTGCAGTTAAAGTCTGTAGTTTCAATGGTCCTTACATTCGTCAGGGCTTACCTTTCAGTAAAGATATTGCAGAAGTAAATACATTCGAAGAATTGCTTGCTATTGCAAAGACCGAGGAAGTTCGGCACGATGAAGAAATAGAAGCGTTACTGGACAATTACCGACACGGATTAATTGCCGATAAGGATGATTTAAAACACCGTGCTAACATCTTAAAGCAGCGCATGACTGCTGATAATAATTCCTGCCAAACTAATTCGGAAGTTGATTCTGTGATAAATAAAAGTGCCAATGAACTTGATGCATTAGGAGAACGTAATTTAATGGAGGAATGGAAAGACACTCCAGCGCTTAAGCGTATTTATCAGCAGTTTGCACAAAACATTGTGGATATTCAAACATCTATTGATGCTTGTTTAAATGAACGCTGTCCAGTGAATGAATACAGCAGCAAATTAAGTCAACTTCAGGCAGCTATGCAAGATCCAAGAAGGAAGTTTAGGCCACTAGTTCTTAGGGCTTTAAGCGATAACAAGAAAGAAGCTAGTACAATTTCCAAAAGAGCCAAGCAAGAGTTAAGAAAATTAGAAGCTGAGTGGCAAACATGCATGACCAATTTGAAAAATAAACCAAACACAATTTAATATAAGTATTCTATATGTATATAACATTATGTATCGGGCAGTAATAAAAAATATACACAATCTAATAAACTAACAAATACCAATATACCTATTAGTAAAAACTTACAAATATTTTTGATAAACCTGTTTTAAACTTCTGTCAATACGAGAGCGTCCGATGATATCCGATGTTCGTCGTCGGTAAAATCAGCCGGTCTGCGCGACGCAGGAAATCTTTGATGACAGGTCCATTATCTAGGGTTGGGAGGCCTGTCGAAAGCAACAGCAGTTCAACAAGAAAAACCACTTCCCACTCGAATCTCAGTGTGTCCCTTAGAAAATCGGCCACCCACAGCTAGGAATGTTGCTAGTCATGTAATTTACACGCAAAAGGATAAGCTTACCATCGTTATCGCCCAGGGGAAACGTCTCAAAATGGTCTCCATCATAAAGAACCAACTGTTGAAACACTTATCAAGGTATGTTAAACAAAATAAACCTTTGGAATGCCTCTCAATATAGTTTTCTCTATTACCATGCAGATTTACAAAGAATTTATCGGCGGACAAGATCAATCTTAGCACATTCAAAGGGGAGGGTGAGCTAAGCAACTTGGAATTAAATGAGATTGTACTCACTGATCTCTTGGAACTTCCCTCCTGGTTAAGACTTCAGAGTGCCTGGTGCAACAAGGTAGCCTTCCGGATACAATGGACTCAACTAAAGAAAGTTCCTATTGTACTTGTAAGTTTTTAGTAATAAATTTAATGGTATTTTAAAATAACATGCAATATGATTATGATTAGAGCCTGGATGAAGTGAACATCATAGTGGAAACATGTGAGGAGCTAAGAGAGATGAATTTGTCAGGACCAGCAACAGCAGCTGTGCCTGGCAAATATAGTTTCATCCATAAAATCATTGATGGCATCACAGTAACTGTAAATGCTGTGAATATTACGTTCAATAGTCCAGCATTCACAGCCAATGTCCAGATATCCAGAATCCTATTGGAATCCAAGAATCCTAAGTGGAAAAAGGGCGATTTACGTACGACTCGCATAAAAGAGCCAGAAAGAGGGCAACTGTTGATATTTAAAGAATTAGAATGGCAGACAGTTAGAATTGAGGCTAAATCAACCAAGGACAAAAACTTAACGCCACTACGATTGCTGACGAATCAGGCGAGATGCCGCATAACGATCAAGAAACGATTATCTGGTTCGTATTTATTATTAACTTGTTCTATTTATAATCCCAAGTCATGTTGTTTTTACGCTTTTATAGATTCGTTCATATTGGGATCACGACTGGTAATCATACTAGATGACCTGCTGTGGGTTCTCACGGACTCGCAATTAAAGGCGGCATTACATTTTCTTGACTCTTTAGCCGGATTAGTCCAAAAAGCGACTGATCTAACGCGCAAAACGAAGGCAGCTCGAAAACTAGAAGAGCTGCCGGAATACCGCGCGCATCAGGCGCAGCAGGAGCGTATGGACAATGGAAACTCGTCGGAAGCAATTCGGAAACTGTTTACTCCATGGGATGTTGTAGAAACATCATATCACTTCCTTTCCCATCAAATAGTATTGCATCTATGCGATGATCCTGGCGATGGTAGATCGACGCATCCTAACTTAAAAGATGGCGGCGCGCTGCAAGTCACCCTGCAGCACTTCCAAGTGGATTTCTATCCCTATCACATGGCGATTATCGATCGTAAACACTGGCCGAGATATCGCGAGTCGTCTATTCCGCATGTCTTGTGGCAGGAGCAGGCACTCACTTCCTTCCGCAGTAAATTTCTTGATCTCATCGAGAAGAATCGCGCACAACATACGCCACTGTCACGAGCCAATAAGGCATGTATTTATTTTAGAAAAAAAAAATTATGAAAATAATAACAATGTTTGTGTTTAGAATGTTGAATCGCCTACAACAGAATCTCGCCGTGCGTCGACGGTGCCATCGCCGACTGATGTGAAATCATTCGCAATCAAGCAGCTAAATAAATTGATGACTAGTTGCATGATTATTCGTATCGAAGATTTTACGGTTTACAAAGTGACTACGTCGGGGAAGAAGCAATCGTTGAAGGAGTTTATCACAGGTATTGTTACTTTTGCTTTGTATGTGGTTTTATTTCTGCTTAACACCATTTTCTCACACTCATGCTGATGCAAACAGCGCAAAACAAACGAAAAGATGGACGAGGTAATGTTAGCACGAAAATGCAGATTAATGTTTTGCTTTCTATTTAATTTCAAATCAATAATTTCTGGTTGATATTACAGGAGAACGCGATCAAATGTCTTTGCCTCCGGAAACAAAAATGGTTCATGCCGAATTTACTTACTTTTATTATCCTAATGATACACCTTTTCCTCGTAAGTGATTTTATTCTAATTTTTTTTATAATATATTGAATATAATCGTAATTTCAAGTGCCTGCACCAAAATTCTACGTGCAAGTGAACCCTATCAACATCTACTTCGACTTGGAGAGCTGTTTGTGGTTGAATTCATTTGCATTAAATCTATATCAGTCTCTGCAGGATTCAAAGAAGGATATGACTGATATTTCTAATTTGACTTACATAGATGTGAAAATTGAAGCAATTTTACCTAGGGTAATATTCAGACTATATTTTTCTATAAGAGATTGTTATAATCTTCAATATTTAATTGCAGTTAATTTTTGAAAGTTATAAAGATTATATTATCCAACGAGATAGGCCCAAATCGCTGACATTTGAGGTGACTCGCGCAACCATCACGAATGTCCGCAGCCTGGAGCAGTCTTCCCGTGCTGACCTCGCAAAGTGCGTGGACTCCTTCCACATGGGCTCTCTTTTCTTCGGCAGCGAATATCCATCACGGCCGGAAGATTTCTACATTGTTACGCAGAAATTCCTCGATCACATTAGCACGAAAGACAATATTCGTACGGCACACACGGAGTTGAATGCATCTAGTATTGAGACTTTGGTATATAATAAAAATACTCACCTGCGTTTTTATATTTTATTGAATTGTGTCTTTTGTGTTGATTGCAGATCAGTCAGCTAAGTCGTGAATTTATGTGGACGGAAGCAAAGGACGTGTGGTGCATTAATTTGGAACCAGTATGGGCAGATTTTAACGGCGCCAGGGCACTGAATAAGCCTGTGCCATTCCTGGATGCTGTGCCCATCACAATATGGCTACACAGTAACATGGATCCGAACTCAACCATTAAGCAAAACAACGCCTACGCAGACATACACGCGCTGGCGCATATTTCCAACTTGGTCAGTGTGCAACTCAATCACTATCAATATTTGTTTCTACTGCGGCTGGCTGAGGATGCTACTGAACTGGCAGCTTTCTTGCTGTTGGATACTAACCGAATTACTAAACAAGAACAGAATAGTTCGCTCATTGTGGGCGCTCTTCTGCCTCAACTTGAAGTTACTTTGGTTATGCCTTCCGCTTATCCGGGCAAGGAGTCTTCCGGTGGAGATGTTGAGTCTTTTGCGCCCGAGAGTTCTTTTGCTGATGATATGGATCAAAAGGGAGGATCAATGGGAACGGTATGGAATTCTAACTTGACGATTTCATCCGTGCCGCCATTAACATCAATGAAATCGTATGCAAAATCGCCTTCGAATCCAAATGCTAATGTTAATTTTAACACAGCGAATAATATTAATTCATTTCCGAGTCCTGTCGAGAAACCACTTTATCAAGATAAACTGTCTCCGAATGAAACTTCCCCAATGATTTTAGATTCGGCGAAAAATCAAACACTTACTAATATAACAAATGCAGGTAAAAACTTTCTTAGCAGATTAAATTTATATATGTGTTAACATTTTGTAAATATATTGCAAGGGTTTTCTTCAATGCGGAAAGGCTTTAGTAGCCTGATGACATCGATTGATAGCGCGCTAAAACCAACGATGGATGCAAGTGACGCCAGTGACACAATGTCCATCCGCAGTGATGTATCCAGCGACTCGGAAAATTACATTTTCTTAAACATGGAACAGGATAGCATGCAGAAAGCGGACGACATGTTTATCGTGCCAGAATTTATGTCGCAGAACAAAGGTATGGTGGAAATTGCTAGCGAAGTCATTGAAGAAGAGAGCACGATAACGTCCACGAGTGAACACAGTTTGACGAGCAGTTGTCGCCGAAAAGACTTGGTAACAATGGCAAACAACATTTAATTAACTATTTACTAACATTTCACTGTTGCAGGTTTCTGTCTCTACGTTTAAACTTACAAAAGTCGAATTTATCCAGCAATCCTCTGGCTTCTCTTCATCTATAAAACTTCAAGTGGAGAACATTTCTAATGAGGACTGCAATGCGATTCCTTGGGATGAGTTTCAGGTAGGCAATTCAAATATAAAAAGTACACGGTCAACATTCGGTGAACTTCTTTCGACTTGTTCATGTTTTTTCATCTAAAATTCATTACTTCGCATGATGCCGACACATTTTTATCAATTCAGGATTTATTCACATGCGAATTCAAATAAATATTTTCATTCGAATCACATCGACGTGGTGGGGCCAGCGTTTTGATCATTTCTTTGTATTTTTTGCATGCTTCTGAATGTTTTATTGTGGTTCGAACGAAATGTGCAGGCCAAGTACAAGGTATTGGGTTTTTTCAAATTTACGTACTTGTATGCAATTAGGCATCTTGATGCACATAGATTCTACATTTCTAGAATGGACTAACTTTAAGTATTAAAAATTTGAAAAAATAAACGAGTAGTGTAGTGTTAGTACTTGATACGATACAGATTTGCTGCATGCCTCTCATAAACACACCAATTTCACAGCGTTTGCATGCGTTTTACATATTTTATAGTATTACTTGTGGTGAGAAGGTTTTAACTTGATGTTTCTCATAAATAGAGCAAGTTCAGCTCGAGGTCGCGCGCTTGGTCAGATAATCCCAGCAACTCGGCGACGACGACGCAGGTGAAACTTCGAATGGATCACGATATTGTTATGCCCAAACATGCGATAGCAATCAATCGCACCAACTTAAAAACGCTCTTCAAAGATTTTCTGGATATTAGAGTCAACGATGTTGCACTTAATTTATCGATGAGTACTGTTGTTGGAATGGCGGACCTCGCCGAAGACGAATGCATTCCTATTCCAATTCCTATGGAGATATCACTTAAAGATATCTATGTGCATCTGACAGAGGACCGTCCGCCGGTGAATATAACATCCCCAGGTCCGGTGCCAATTGATTTGAAAATCGCTGAAATGTTTATCACGCGAGACGCAGAAGGAACATTCCATATTGTTCCGAATACTAAAACAGTTCGACAAAACTCTATCATGAACGGTATGTTAATAATTTAAGATTTACTTTAAAGTTTACCAACTAATTTGTTACTTTAGATGAGAATATGCTCAATCAGCAAATAAATCGGCAGCTACGCTTAGACAACGATGAATTGCGAAGACGTTTACTGGCGTTTGAACGTATTTCAGAGGAAAATCGCATGTTGCGTAAGGCAAAAGAAGAAACTGAAGTGCTTAAAAGTTCACTATCTAAAAGCCAGGAAGACGTTGCGCGTCTACTCGAAGAAAAGCGCCGATTACTCGACGAAGTTCGCAAGTTGCAGGAGCAGTTCATGAACGACCGGCGAGGCCAATGGACAGCCAAAAGATAGCAATGTTGTCTGGACTGCACCAACTGCTGCACGAACATGAGGAGATAGTTTAGTCGCTAGCTAGAGGGTCAGTCTTTGTTTTATCATGCTAAACAATGCAAACATTTTATCGCGAACAAGTGGAAAATTGAGAAAGTAAATTGACAGAATATATTACGTAGATAGGTAGGCTTTGAAATTGATATTGATTATTATAAACGTTATTAGGCGGAAGGGAATTAAATGAGTGCAATTTACCAAAGATTTCTGTTTCACTCATGAACGATTTCAAGCGCAATAAATTCGTTCAGGAAGCAAGAGAATTCCGTTCCAATACTTCCTACGTTTTCTGGAAGGCATGTTAGTTTTGATTCGTTAGCTTTAACAAGAGATTTGATATATCTATGATGTAAAAATGTATATTTCAAGATATTTCTATTTCCATATATTTTATGTTTGTTATTTTTGTATTATTCAAATTTGGATCGTTATTACTCAATAGATATATCGTAGTAACAGTAAAGTGGTGTTGCCAAAAACGATGTAAGCATTGCGTGCCATACAAAATGAATTAAAGTTGTTTGGAAGGAGTAAATTTGCATGGCTAGATTGTACGTCCGTTTGGCAATTTAGTCCAGGGACAATCTACAATAGCGAAAATTGTGGTCATGTCGATAACCACAAAACCAATTACTTCATTAATTGCAGCAATTTGCAAACAATGAAGCAATTACTTTCAAATGTAGAGCTTTACCAATCACATATACGATTGGAATGTAACAATCACGCATCATGTTAACTCAAGTTGCTACAGCGACGGAAAACATGTCAATAGCGATAGAGCCTTTCTTTATCAACTTCAATAGATTATTCCTGGACTAGTTACTTTACTCACTTAAACATACGCATATTTCATGAACATATCGATATGGAGTGGCATGGATAATGCCGTAATTTGTGATCGTGTATGAATGAAGTACATTTTACGGTATGCGAAACGTTTTTATTCGAATTGTTTGCGTTAGAAAAACTCTCTCGGTGGATGAGTGCCAACGCAACGTGTTGTGATTACTTCCTAGGTTGCTCTTAAATTTGATACATAACAAGAACACCAATCAATAAGTGGTTAGTAGTACATTTTAGCGCAAATAACTAAAAGAAGTGTTTTATGAGCGTACTTAAAGAGAAAAGAAAATACTATTTACATGTTGTCTTGTATTCTTGTGTTTCTGACATGTGTATGTAAAACCTAATATTATCAGCTAGGACAAAACAAAACGTTTAAAACAAAAACACAACAAATGTTATAATAATGTATATGGTGTTGAATGAAGATGTCTGCAAAGTGGACAAAAACGTCTATTTGAATCATGTAATAATAAATTCATCGATTGCAACGCAAGCGCTGTTTCATCTTGATCGTAAAATGCGTTCGGGCCAAGTCGAGCCTCGCAAGTAAAAGAAAAAATAAGAAACAATTTTGGTATATAACTTCGAATTTGCGCCCAGCCCTTAATACTTGGCACCAAATTAAACAGCTTACTGCTCGTGCGTGCCGTTCGTAGTCGGTTTCCTTAGATTTTTCTGCAGAACGTGCGCGTCGGCCGGTTCTATTCGCTTATAGTAATGTTGTTTCGTCTCCACAATCTCGAAGCCGAACTTTTTGTAAAAATCGATCGCGCCTTCATTGCTAATTTGCACATGTCTAGAATAATTGCAAGAATGAATTGCAGAAAGATATTTTTATAATTAACTTTGTACTTACAGGAATATGCTATCAAAGTTGCCATCCTCTTCAACATATTTTAAAACATGCTCCACCATCATGGTGCCAATGCCAAGTCTCCTGTAGGGGTATAAACAGCCAAGGGTCATGATGTACAGCTTCCTGCTCTTCTCAACTGTGTCAATCCGACAGCACACTGCCCCAACAACAATATCATTGTAGTAGGCCAACTTGGCAAGCTCTCCAGCTTCCAGGACATCTTTGTAGAATTTGTCGTTGTACGTGACGGGGAAAACAACGGTGTTGAGCTGCTTCAGCTGCTTAATATTGTGTGGTGTTACATTGCCTAGCTCGATATTCGCTCTGCAAATGCGGATTTGAGGTTAGCTCGTGAAAGTCGCAGGAAACGCATTATAACGGCGGCAGGAGACGAAGGCGGCGTACTTACCTGGTCATGATTCGGCCGGCTGGTTATTTATCACGAAGTGGCGGTGTTCGACGCGCATAAAATCGTCACGAACGCATGGGATTTTTATCGGAAATTTTAGACTCAGTCGGACGTTCGTTTTCCTCTTTGGTTACAATGTCAAACGTCAAATACAATTTCGTAAAACCGGCGCGGACCGTGCTACCTTGTCAAGTTTAGCGGTCGTTCACTAAACGCAACCGTATTTATTTTTGATTCAGTAGTGATTTTAATTTATTAATTTATTATTAATAAAAGTTAAAAATACATTATTTAAATTTTGATGCGGATTAATGACGAGGTTCTAAAAACAATTGTTATTTAAAAGTTAAATTGACGTTTGTCTGACATTTTGACAAATCAGCTCTAAGCAAATGCGATCCTGCAAGCAACAGCTGATAAGCAAGTTTCTAAACAAGTATTAAAAGTCCGCCAACTGCATGTTGTACACGCAACCAATCAATTTGTGTTATCTACGCGCTGTTTGCTTTCATTTTAGTAACTTGGAAGTTAGTTGAAGTCGCCCGGTAGCAACAGGCACATCAACATAACTACTTTGGCAATATGGCGCTGTTTATCAAATCAACAACAAGAAACTGTGAGTATTCAATAAACTTTCAATAATACTAGTTCAAATAAGTATGGCAGCATTGTTTAAAAGTGCAATTCATTTAGTTTGGCAACTGGTGGTTGTTTCCTCTGCTTGGAAACAAAACATTTATTTTGATACTTTAAAGGTTATTTTTAACTTTTCTTCAAGTCTAAAAATGCAGTTTAGTTTCTGAACTTTGTGCCATATTACATGAAACTGTTTCGGTGCAGTCTAGGTTGGGTACAAAGGTCAAAAATAAAATATATTGTCTTAATTTCGCTATTTTCTGTTGTAGTTTACAAGTTGCAGTCAAAATGCCTTGTGAGAAACTTTGCAGATGCACAATTTCCCAAAATCACAACACATTATACTATTTATCCCAGAGAGAAGGATCCAAGATGGAAAGGTATGTATTTGTATTCATAAATTAGATTTTATTAAATTAACCTCTTGCTTGTTTTAATTTATAGATGCAAAAATGGAAAGATTTGAAGATGAGACTGATCTACTCATCATTGGTGGTGGCCCAGCAGGAATGTCGGCAGCCATCCGCGCAAAACAAATCGCTGAGCAAGAAGGCAAAGAAATCCGCGTGTGTTTAGTTGAAAAAGCTGCCGAAGTTGGCGGACACATTCTGTCTGGCGCTTGCATTGATCCAATCGCACTCAACGAATTAATCCCCGATTGGAAAGAAAAGGCGCACCTTTAAATACTCCTGTCACAGTGGATCGAATGGGCTTCCTAACAAAAACCGGTCGAATTCCAGTCCCTATTCTTCCCGGCATGCCTTTAAACAATCACGGTAATTATATTGTACGTCTAGGTCACGTGGTGCAATGGCTAGGCGAGCAGGCAGAAGCACTTGGCGTAGAAATCTACCCAGGTTACGCAGCCTCAGAAATTTTGTATCATTCCGATGGTAGCGTAAAAGGTGTCGCCACAAACGACGTAGGTATAGCTAAAGATGGTAGTCCGAAAGACACATTTGAACGTGGTATGGAACTGCATGCTAAATGTACAATTTTTGCGGAGGGTTGCCATGGACATTTGACTAAACAAGTGTCTAAGAAATTCAATTTGCGCGAAAAATGCGAGCCGCAGACATATGGCCTTGGTATCAAGGAAGTATGGGAGATTGATGCAAGTAAACACAAACCGGGAACAATTGAACACACTATTGGTTGGCCGTTGGATAAATTTACCTATGGAGGTTCTTTCTTGTATCATTTGAATGAGCCTACTCCTATGGTAGCGGTGGGCTTTGTAGTTGGTTTGGACTATTCCAATCCGTACATTAGTCCGTTCAGGGAGTTCCAAAGATTTAAACATCATCCGTCAATTGCGCCGACATTTGAAGGCGGTAATCGTATTGCATACGGAGCGCGTGCCCTCGCAGAAGGTGGCTTCCAGAGCATTCCTAAGTTAACCTTCCCAGGTGGTTGCCTAGTAGGTTGCGCGGCAGGTTTTCTCAACGTGCCAAAGATCAAAGGCACACATAACGCAATGAAGAGTGGTATGTTAGCTGCGGAGGGTGCAATGGAAGCCATTTTGGGCGAAGCGCAAAGCACGACCGGCTACGAACCTATTGCTTATGATCACAAGTTAAAGAATTCTTTCGTCTGGAAAGAATTGAAGGCGGTTCGTAATTGCCGACCAAGCTTCCACAACCCTCTTGGATTGTATGGTGGAGTCATGTACAGCGGTATTTCAATGATTCTGCGAGGAAAAGAACCCTGGACTCTATCGCACGGTGGTAGGTTGATACAAGTTTACAACATGAACAAGTTAAATCAATAGTTGTCTATTTAAGCTGCGGATCATACGCGATTGAAGCCAGCAAAGGAGTGCACTCCAATCGACTATCCCAAACCGGACGGGAAGATCAGTTTTGATTTGCTCACTTCTGTCGCATTGACTGGCACGAATCACGAGGGTGATCAGCCGGCGCACTTGACGCTGATGGACGACACGGTGCCAGTCAAGCACAACTTGGCTATGTTTGATGGTCCCGAGGGCCGATTCTGCCCGGCAGGTTAGTCTATACACTATTTCATTTGTTACTCGTTTTTTTTTTCTTTACTATCTATGGCCGTCCTGAAGTCTAATGCAATGTCTTCAATTTAATCAACGAAGCGAAAAGGGAGCGACGTGACTGAGAGATACAATGCGTTGCGAGAAAGAAAATTCACGACGAATGTACAAGTAACAATCAGTATGAAATTGCACGCGTCTGGTTTATCACGCGGAGCTTGTTATTGCAAGTCGTGCAATTACTGAGCGCATTCTCTGTATTTTCCATGGGGGGCTGAAAGTTTTCGGCGCGCGGCGGGATGTTCGCTTCTCAAGGGAATTTCTTATCTTGCGAGCAGCGGGAGGAGGCGCGCACGCAGGTCGCAGACGTCTAGCGGTTTCTCCCCTTGAAATTCCGGGCTCGCAAAGTACTTTGCTATCCGAACTCGACGAAGCAATAATTTAAATCCGGCTTTCAAAAGCGATAGCAACGTTGCGACATCGCTTACCCACACCATAAAATATTACACAAGAAAACTATAGAGCGACAAGAGTTTGTTTCCGCTTGTAAGCAACTTTTATGGGAAGATTAATTAAAATTTGCGTGAAAATGCAACTTGCTACAAGTTGTAATAGGTTGGGGTTGTAGTTTGGGGCGTTGGCGTGCATAGAAAGCACGAAATGCAACAGAAAAACACGCCGGGCAAGTTGTGCGGGGCGGCGGGTACGACTGCAGGGCTACGCCGCCGTCTGCCTGCAAGTTCAAGGTCCTCGATCGATGTTTTCGGGGCTGTTGCACTCCGGTGCCCCAGACTGGGCAATGACACCAGACCGAAGCGTGAACTCTGCGTCGCCGGTTACCGCCCGCCCCTCAATCGTTCTTCCTCACACTGTGCGCTCGCTTTGCATGCAATTCCCGAGTAATTTACAATGCTCGGCACTTCATTTCGAGTTTAAATTTTATAGTCGAAAAGATACCGTGCACTGGATTTAATACAGTCAATGAATTGTCTATTTTAGCCAAATGTCCCCCTTGAAGGGCGGGCGAGCACTCGAGGGAAAACCGAGATTGAATCGGTGCTCGGTGCTCGCAATTCGTGTTAGTAAAGTAGGATACGTGACGCGCATTAAATGCGGGGAAACAGTGTGTCACAATGAAACCTTTTATGATCCGCCAGTGCGGCGTGTTGGTCCTTTTTATTTCCCATCCGGCGTGTGGACGTCAGCGGCGCCCGGCGCCTCCGCCCGGACGATAGGCATCGCGCGATCGCGCCATGTTCGTGTCCGGCGAGCGCCTTCTGGGTATTTGTGTCACCGTACGTCCTTCGTCCTTTCCGTGCAGCGCATAAAATCTCGACTACGTAGGCGCGAGCATATCAGACGTCATTTATTTTTATTACTCGTCCCAGAATGGACTGGCGGCGGGCGACTGCAAAAAATTAAAACTCGGACATGTTGAAGTCTACTTCGTGACGAAAGCAGGCGACGTTAAAGAGCTGCGGACGAGTGTTGCACACGCCTCATTTAAAATAGAAGCGAGTTGCTTGCGCGTCAGCGGCATTAATGGGCGGACACGTTCATGTTGCGTCATTAATTTTATGTTTGTCGAGATACGCAACTACGCAGCCAACAAGGGGTGTTATCTTTAGCAGCTTGTATTTAACACATGCACATACATTCAAGCTATATTTGCCTGCTTGAATTATTCAATTTGATTCGATTCATATGATTCAGTTTTCTTTTTTGTTAATGTTATTTAACTTGACAGTATGAAAGAGTTTTTAGTATTGATTTTTATAATAACTATATTATATGTTGCTAAAGCTTTTACAACAACAAAAAACAAGAAAAAACGCACTTTGTACAGAAAAAGATTGACGTGCCTGAAATGACGCTCGGAAATGAAGCACTAAAAGCCATCCAGGGCAGTAAAAGTTTTTTATTTCTTTTACTAAAGAAGTTGAGCGTTTGCAACATTTTCCAAGATGTCGCATTTAATTATCAGCCAGCTCTTAGTTACTTCAACAGTAAAATAAATACAAGCAAAAAAATATGGCAACTAAATTATAAGAACATTATTTTTGCAGAGAATATAAAACGCTTACTTTATTTTGAGGTCGGCGAGGATTTGTGGAAATATAGCGGCCGTAACATTGCGGAAAATCGGTTTTTCTAGCTTGTGCGCAAGCGGAACGGGTTCCAATCGAATTCACGCCTAATTTAATTTCGTCCTTTTTTTCCGTGCGCCGGGAAATTTATTCATGAATTATGCCCGCCCCAAATTGATATGCTGCGCTTTCCTCGGCTGATATTACGTAAATTGTCTAATGATAATGTTTAACGATGCACGACTTTTTAATTTAAAGCAGAAAGCAAAGTTAAAAGCACTGGCATATAAAATACCCAACTGTTTTTTATTCAAATGTTTTGGCGTGCGTAACGAGAAATGCAGGTTCGGCAAGAAATGAAATTCGAAAAGCGCTTAAATGTTATTTATCGCCTTTATCCGCGCCGAGAGCGTTGCTGTTTTGTCTGGCAATACCACAGAAACCCGGCCGCATTTCGATTCGAATGTCTTCGGCGCGTTTGATAAATTATTCAAAGGTCGGGCACCGACAGGTTGCGCCGTTGCAAATTGAATTGCTTGCTCGAGCGAAATATTGAAACTTAATTGGGGGGAGAGAGGTGGCTTGCGCGCCTCTCTCGTGCATAAAGCACGAACTTCTTACATTCTTCATTCCGTTTTTCCTCTCGGGCTATTCCGGAGGTGCCGCGCGGCGTTTTTAAGGTTTAAACTCCTTTCAGTCTGCTTTCAACTCTTCGCCTTCCGGCCACGGCGGCGCTCATTAGGTTGCTGCAATTTATCACATTAATCGGCAAGACGCTGCGACTCCGGCGACTAATTAACACTCGTCACTTTTTCCCTCGTTACTGTTGAATATTTAATGTAAAAAATGTAGGTACTTACGATTGGAATGTGTTAAAGTAGTAAAAAATTTCCACACTACGTACAGGAATTGTGTGTTCTTGTGGGTGTGTGTAATGGGAAATTGATTTACAATAATGCTGGTTTGCCGGAGCCGCTATTTGCCGTCGGCGGCGTGAGTTATGCCCCGAGCGGCGCACACCCCCGGGAATAATGGGATAATGGCGAGCGCGAAACGCGAATAACTGTCATAAAGAGGGGCCTAATTTTACGAGCGCTCTATAAATTATGTCGATATTCAATACTCATCCGGGGCCGCGAGAGCAAAAAACGAAATTTTAACCAAAGGCCGCACTGTTATTTGCTGTAGTTGTCACGGCTTTGCGAATAAATTCATCAGGAATTTACCAGATTGTACACACAATCAATTTATGAATAATTGAGGGCGAAATTTATCGGTGAATAATTTTATTTATTTATTTTTGCATTAATTGTATGCGACACAAATAATTGAATCAACGTCAATCAAACACTTTCGAATGCATAATTTAAATGGTTGTTTCGTGAAACACGAGTTTTCATTAATATATGACCAGAGCGGGCAACCTTTGGGATAGAGTGTTAGTAATAAATTAAAACGCCACTTGTGGAAAATTACAATCCAGTCGTAACAACTATTTGCTGAACTTTGGGGGGTAAATTGATTCTCCTAATGTAATTCCGTTTCGGCAATCGCGGTGCGTAATTGTCCTGCAACACTCGAAGCGTTTGCGGTCGCACTTGTCTTCCTCCTCCCTCGTGGTCGTAGTTTCCTCCAAATTGCTGCTTTGTTGCCTCCCGGAGACCCAGGGCGCTATCGGTCGCTGGCAGCCTCCCGCTTTTATGCGTTACGTGCGTTTAACTTAACTAACTTTGTGTTGCTCTCAGGAGTGTACGAATTCGTCCCAATGGAGAGCGGCGACGGGCAACGGCTGCAGATCAACGCGCAGAATTGCATCCATTGCAAGACGTGCGATATCAAGGACCCTACGCAGAATATCAACTGGGTGGTGCCTGAAGGTGGCGGTGGTCCCGCTTACAACGGTATGTAGGGTGTATTTTTGCTCAATTCTTATGCCACTACTAGCCTACACCCCTACGACGATCAACACACACTCGCCAGCTGATGAATTCGATAATTAAAGTAAGAAAAATGATGGTAAGAGTAATTCTCGATCGAATTGTAAATAATTTTATACGGATGTTTACATGTTTAAGCGATTTTAAGCTGTTTGCTACAAAGATATATTGTTATCAACTGTGGCGCCTCATTTGTCCTGTCCAATGCAATCTCCCTCGTCAGATTGACTGTGTGCTTACGTGTTGAATACGTTTACGTATTGCATTGATGTGGGATGGGTTGGCCGCCGGGCTAATCGGCATGTAAGCCATTCGGACGAGCATACACGTTCGATCCAATTAGTGGCACCGCGCACGTAGGCGTACGTAAATCGCAGGGCCTCGTTACGAACGCCGACGCGTGTTATCGATACATTTGTCGCGTTATCGAACACATTACATGACATCACAAATAACAACAACAACAGCACGCGCAACAGCTCGCAAACTTTACGGTTGTTTATCGATGCGACGAGTTTGCCGAGCGCCCGCTTACGTCCCAAATATTAATAAACCTTTTAGTTTAAGGCGGACGGCTTGAGGCAACTAACAGGAGCGAAACCCAACTCCCGAAACCAAAATATCCTTCTACCGCCTACAACTGCTCCTTACCGCTCTCGTGCGAATGGTGTTGATGTCGGCCTAATCCAGATACGAGCGATAAGATACTCCCAAGAGGGATTTCGCAGCAGTGTCCGCGTTAATCTCCGGAATTGAAAGGACTTTCAAGATCTGTGCCTGTCCCTAGTTCCTTTTCTTTTCTCGTCTTGACGACGAAGCGACGCGCCGAGATGATTAGGAATTGCAGGATGGCGATTTAATTTACGAGCTTAACGAGCTCTGCGAGGCTTCGAAGGTAAGTGATACATTGTACATAGAAAAAGATAAACACGCTAAAGCTTGAGTGTTCTGAAAAAGCAGCGTAATTTTACTGATGTAATTACTGCTTGAAGCTATGCAGAACGCTGAACGAGTGTGAATGCAATTATTACAAGTTGCGCGCATTGTTCATGAACAGCGCGTCGGGAAATTTAATCCCCGGGTCCTTTGCGCATAGTTCTTTCCGTGTTGCTTTATTTTATTTTGCAAACAACCGCTGACATTTCTACCGTCCTCTCACGCTTTAGATTGCAAATATTGCAGTTGCGAACAAAGTGCCGCAGTGAGAGCCGAGGCGTTAATTAATTTCGTGATTTGACTTGTTTATTGAATTAGAGATGTCGAGCGCGTTGGGAAATTTCCGCAAGTTGGCGCTGCAGTTACGCAGGCAATGCGGACACGCTCAGCACGGGAAAGCTCATTGGATGAGTTTCTATCTAATTTTACTCAGATGAGACTATTTATGAAAATGATTAACTTAGAAAACTCGTCTGCAGAACGTAAGTTGATATTCTATGAATTCCTGAAGGATGTTTTTAACTCATTTTTAGATTAAATTTATCGTGCCAGACGAAATTGCCGGATAAACGATGGATTCTCTCGTTAAGTGATCGAATTTTACGAAAAGGGCGAAAACGATGACGTGCAGGACGGCGAATTGAAATTTACAAGTGTTTTGTTTCGCTTTAACTGGCGAACACTTTAAGGGATGACAAAACCGACAACATCATTGACAGCCGCGCCGCTCCCCGATGAATGATGGATTTTCCTGCTTAGACGTTTCTTGCAAGTCATAATAACAAGCTGAAGTTCCAAAAGGATGATGTAAAAGATATACTTATTGAGTAACGCGTAATTTTTGCGATTCTCGCGAGGTTTTTGACCGACGAAAAAAAAACCTCGCATTGGATTTGATTCCTTATTTGTTTGTTTGCTTGTTTCCCTCGAGATTTCCGAATGTGCTCGTTTTCGCAAACGAGATTGAGTAAACACACACATGAATTAGGTTTGTTTGTCCCGATGATGTTTCATTCCCTATCATATTTTACCGCAAACGAGATCGGTTACTCTGTGGTTCAATTGCGTTTCCGGGTATTTTTAAAATTAAGAACCGCATTGTGTCTTTGTCACCTTATCATAAAATATGAGCAGTAAGATTCAGTTTTCTGCTCGAACAAATCACAACTTACACAAGTTATTTTTCATTTTTAAATGTTTTCGCGTGATTTTTTCTGCGTTTTTCTCGAATGAATGAAGTCCAAACAGCGAAATGCGGATGAGAGTCGAAAGTAATTATACAAGTTTTTATCTCTAGGCGGAGTTTCCACGGAGTTTGAGCAAGTTTATGCGCGCGAGAGCCGAGTTAAAGGGGTGGCAAATATTCGCGTGCGGATTAAAAAAAGCTCGGCCTCCTCGGAATGGCAGAAGTTTTCGATCGTGAGCCGATGGCGATCATACTCTAATTAATAGCAAGAGTTTTGTGCGAAAAAGTTTGGCTTTTCATTTTATCGCGGCGGGAGTCTTAACTCGTTGCGATTAGACGACTAAAGTGCCGATTTTCGTAATTAAAAATACGAAATGGAAAATTAAAAATTCCAACCAACAGCAATCATTTTGATCAATGCGTTAGAATGAATTCGGATTATGCATCTCCAGACAGGATTATGGATTGCGGGACGTAGGCGGCGTTGAGCTCTGGAGATGTGATTAAAAGTGACACGTGTGCGACGTGTGGGAAATTCGCGTTCCGTTCGTAGGGCAGCGCGACGCGCTGAAAACCACCCCTGCGCGCCAAAGCTGATAGCACCCCGTGTGCTCATATTTTAGATCAGAAGTAGGGCCGGAGCGGGCAGGGATGCAGGAAAGCAACGCCGTTTGATTACTGCTCCAGCGCTTTAGTGCCTTCGTAGTTCGCGCAGGAAGGCAAAACTACATTAACTAACTAAAATGCGTTTTCATACTTCCGTTCGTGACGCGTCTACAGGATGTGGTACGAATTCATGAGCTTCCCGAGTGTTACCTGCCTTGTTAATTATAGTTTTAATTAAACCACGTATTTAATTCGAACGTTTTCTATTCGTATAATTATAATCAACATAAAACGTAGATTTTCTACATTTTCTCGACTGCCAGGAAAATTCAAAGAGAATAATCTTGTCTCGGTAATTATACCTCTAGGCATTTCTCGTGCGCCAGCGCTAGGTAATAAATAAATGGATTAAAAACAGTTTCTTTCATCTTTTCATCTCTTTTTTTCTGCGCCGAGCGCTTCTTTTCATGACTAAACATTTTCAACGTCGGCTCAAAAAGGCGAGACACGTTTCTTAGAAAAACGAAGGACAAAGGACGAACTGCAGAGCACGCGCTGAAAGACAAAACGCCGCAGGGAAGGAAAAGTCTATTTTAGTTGTCTCGTAGACCGAGAATGTTTGCGCATAATTACAAATAATCATATAAAAGCCTCTGAAAACCCCTGAATGGAAAAATGGAATAATTAGACCAGTAGTTTTAAAAATCCGAGGTATAATTTGAGGGATAAAGTTGGGAATGTAATTATGTTCGGATTTTGTACGTATTCACGTTGCTACGAGCTCGTACAAACGTTTCACTAACTGAGCGAATTGTCAGCATCGAATGAATCGCATTTAATTGCAGCGAGCGCACGCGATTCGGATTGCCGTCGGGATTGCAATCGCAAATTTTATTTCCTCTGCGTTTGCCAGGGCTTTATTATTGCCTAATGCCCGGGATGACGAACGGGGATGGCACACGGCGAAAATAAAGGCATGCAGCGGACCATGGGGAGAGACGAATTAATGCATTGCGATTGCGATGAATTTCGCACATTCCCGAATATCGGAAACGGACATGCATTTGACGAATTTTTTTGTGCGTGCGCTATGCGCACTAAATGAATTATTGCCATTACGGGGAGCGCACCGGAATGAAGCGCCAGATGCAATTTCCTCCTCTCGTTTGTAATCCAGTTTCGATGACTACAAATCACTCTCGGCGCGAATAAATTATATCATTTTTCGGACATTTCGGTGCGGATTTTGAAGCCTTTTTAATGCTGTTTATTTTACGATATTCATTGTATTTGGGCTGTCGAATGTGCTGCGCCGCAGCTAATTTCTAATGCAATGAAAATTCATTATGTGCAGCTGCGTGTTCATCAGATATCATTTGGCGGCGACAACAGTTGGTCGAGTGTGTTGTGTGTTATATGGGTATATATGGGAGCTCGATGGCATCGGTGGCATCATGCGGAGCGCGTCGATTACGGAATGAACGATGATGGTCGGATGTCGGATGGCCGCCGAAGAGCAAACGGAGAGCCCATGTGCAGGCGCACCCATGTGGCACGCGGCTTTGTGCGATCGACGCATGTTTGGAGCCGTTTATAGGGCTTTCAGGCGTTTTAGGGTGTGCGTCGCTGCGTGTTGCTCGTCAGCTGGACATTACCCAAATATCCGGTTCGACAACAAAAAATTAAACGCATTAATTTCATAGAGGCGACTACTGTGCGCTGTAACAACATAAAAAAACAACTTATAAATCAATGTAGTCATTTATACGCAAACATTAACAAGGACAACATTGTTAAGTTACAAAAAACCATTCATTTTAGTTGATGGAACAGAAGAATTTCCATTTTGTCAAGTTTTTGATATCTGTAACTCCTCTTTGCATCTGTCGCGAGTTTGATACGCAAAATTGTGATTCTGTAATAATTGGATTTGATTCAGCAGCGTTCCGAAAATCATTTTCAATTTGGGCTTTTCAACGAAAATAAAGAAAGCAATTCGTTGGATAATAAAACCCTTGATGTGGGACAAGTGCGCAACAAATGCGTGGGAAATTGTAAACGTGGAGAAAGCAAAAAAATCTTCATTTTGATTTTCTCCAGTTTTGTCAAGCAGTTTAACGCAATATTTGATGTGCTTAGAAAGCACGCAACTGGAGTGTAGGCGCGTTTAGAGCATTTCTTGATTTATTTTTGTTGAAGAAAAGAATTGAATGAAATTTGAAACATCGTGAATATAAAATATAATCTCACGCCAAGCATTTACACAAACAAGGTCGATAAAAATTGTACAATAAATTAAATTCGAAGAGGAAATAAATTAGGTTCTGCAGAGTTTAATACAGTTTATGATGAAATAATCATTGACTAATTGCTTACACTGATGCTACGACCCTTTTGTAATTGCAAAGAACAATCAACGTGCAATTAAATTTTCAATTAGCACCAGCGCT